TGCCCAAAAAATGCATCTGGTTAGTTCTGCCTAAAGCATGAAGTTTGACAATACTGCCACTAAAGTGTTTGCTTTGCTAATAACCTTAGTCAGTTATACACCTGCAGTGAAATGGCCCAGTCACAGCATTCTGTAGCTGATGTAAGTACTGAAGAATTTAGAATAATGAAAAATATTCACTGAATGATATTTAGGATTGGGGTGTGGCAAAGGCCTTTTCTGCTTTAAGAGCTTGCTGGAATGTTCTTTAACAGACTTTATGTGCCACTACAGGTAGACAGTGAACTGGCCAAACACAGCATCCCAAAGTGTGTGTGAATTAGAGCAGAACAAAGAGAATTGTGTAGTTACAATATCCTCCCCCAAATGCCTTTGGCCAAACACACAAAAAAGTAGGGTGTCTTGCTCCCTTAGCTCACCACCTTGTAAGGAGACACTAACTCCGTGAGATGTGTCCCACTCAGCATCACCAGTAACTAGCAAGCATCGTGCTGTCCTGACGTGATGAACCCAGATGGGCACGTCACCTCAGGGTCTTACTAGAACCATCTGACCTGTTTCTGGTCATGAAGAAACAAGTCCAGAGAGTGGGACTTCAAAAGATCAATGTCGTGGGAAAAAAGGATGGCAACTATTGTAAAGGAGATAAGAGACATGTCAACTTCGTGGGAAAGTGAAGCTTCAAAGATTGGGGAAATAACATGTTTTGAGAATTGAAGTATACATAGGTTATAGTAAGATATCTAGGACTGTATATAGGTTAAATGTCTTCAGTATAATACTATTGTATAGTAGTTAGACTAACCTTATTCTCAGGAAATACCAAATACTTAGGAGCTGAATATCAAGATGTCTAGAAGATTTTCAAATGGTTCAGGAAAGAAAATGGAGAAACTGCCAAAATTTTAACAAATGGTGATTAGGTGACATGTATATGCGTGTTCATTGTACTATTTTTTCAACTATACTGTTTGAAATTTGTCAAAAGAAAATTCACCATGATACATATAACAAAACATTGATGGCATACAACTGGGTATCCAACAACATGTGCTTGGCTAAGTAGAAACAATTTTATGCAATGACATGAAAAGATTGGTGTTTTGAATGTGACCATCTTAACCATTTTAAAATGTACGGTTCAGTAGCACTACGTATATTCATATTCTTTTGCCACAGATCTCTAGAACGTTTTCATCTTGCAAAAAACTCTGTACTCTCTAAACACATGCACCCCCAGCCCCTAGCACCCACCATTCTGTTCTCTGTGACTTTAATTACTCCAGATACCTCATGCAGGTGGGCTCACACAGTATCTGTCCTTTTGTAACTGGCTTATTTCACTCATCATCATGTCCTCATGTTCATTCATTTTGTAGCACGTATCAGAACTGCCTTCATATTTTTTTTGTATCATTGATCTACAATTACAAGAGGAACATATGTTTACTAGGATCCCACATTCACCAAGTACCCCCCCCACAAACCCCATTACAGTCACTATCCATCAGCGTAGTAAGATGCTGTAGAGTCACTACTTGTCTTGTTTTTCCCAGCCCTCCCTGTGCCCCCCCACATTATACATGCTAATCATAATGCCCCCTTTCTTTCCTCCCCTCTTATCCCTCCCTTCCCACCCATCCTCCCCAGTCCCTTTCCCTTTTGTAACTGTTTCTGGGTCAGCCTTGGAAGGTTGTATTTTTCTAGAAAGCTGTCCATTTCCTCTAGCTTATTCAGTTTGTTAGTATATAATTTTTCATAGTATTCTCTAATACTTCTTTGTATTTGTGTGGTGTCCATAGTGCTTTCTCCTCTCTCATTTCTGATTCTGTTTATGTGTGTAGACACTTTTTCTTGATAAGTCTAGCTAGGGGTTTATCTATTTTGTTTATTTTCTCAAAAAACCAGCTTCTGCTTTCATTGATTCTTCCTATTTTATTCTTCTCAGTTTTATTTAATTCTGCTCTAATCTTATGTCCCTCCTTCTACTGACTTTGGGCCTCAATTGTTCTTCTTTTTCTAGTTTCATTAATTGTGAGTTTAGATTGTTCTTATGGGATTCTTCTTTTTTCCTGAGGTAGGCTTGTATTGCAATATACTTTCCTCTTAGCACAGCCTTGGCTGTGTCCCACAGATTTTGCAATGTTGAATCATTGTCATCATTTGTCTCCATATATTGCTTGATCTCTGTTTCTATTTGGTCATTGATCCATTGGTTATTTAGGAGCATGTTGTGAAGCCTCCATGGTTTGTGGGATTTTTCACTTTCTTTGTATAATTTATTTCTAGTTTCATACCTTTCTGGTCTGAGAAACTGGTTGGTACAATTTAATCTTTTTGAATTTAGCGAGGCTCTTTTTGTGGCCTATGATATGGTCCATTCTTGAAAATGTTTCATGTGCACTTGAGAAGAATGTGCATCCTGCTGCTTGTGGGTGTAGAGTTCGGTAGATGTCAGGTCTGTCTGTTCTGATGTGTTGTTCAGTGCTTCTTTTGCCTTATTTATTTTCTGTCTGGTTGACCTGTCCTTTGGAGTGAGTGAAGTGTTGAAGTCTCATAGAATGAATGCATTGCATTCTATTTCATCTTTTAATTCTGTTAGTATTTGTTTCACATATGTAGGTTCTCCTATGTTGAGTGCACCGACATTTAATAATGGTTATATCTTCTTTTTGGATTGACCCCTTTATCATTATGTAATGTCCTTCTTTGTCTCTTGTGACTTTCTTTGTTTTGAAGTCTATTTTGTCTGATACAAGTACTGCAACTCCTGCTTTTTTCTATTAGTTGCATGAAATATCATTTTCCATCCCTTCGCTTTTAGTCTGTGTATGTCTTTGGGTTTGAAGTGAGTCTCTTGTAGGCAGCATAGAGATGGGTCTTGTTTTTTTATCCATTCAGTGACTGTGTCTTTTGATGGGTGCATTCAGACCATTTACATTTAGGGTGATTATTGGTAGACATGTACTTATTGCCATTGCAGACTTTAGATTTGTGGTTACCAGAGGTTCAAGGGTAAGTTCCTTACTATCTAAGAGTCTAACTTAACTCACTTAATATGCTATTACAAACACAGTCTAAAAGTTCTTTTTTTTCTCCTCCTTTTTCTTCCTCCTCCATTCTTTATATATTACGTATCATATTCTGTACTCTTTGTCTATCCCTTGATTGACTTTGGGGATAGTTCATTTAATCTTGCAAGTTGCCTAGTCATTAACTGTTCTACTTTCTTTACTGTGGTTTTACCACCTCTGATGACAGCTATTACACCTTAGGAACCCTTCCATCTATAGCAGTCCCTCCAAAATACACTGTAGAGACAGTTTGTGGGAGGTAAATTCTCTCAGCTTTTGCTTATCTGAAAATTGTTTAATCCCTCCTTCAAATTTAAATGATAATCTTGCCAGATAAAGTATTCTTGGTTTGAGGCCCTTCTGCTTCATTGCATTAAATACATCATGCCACTCCCTTCTGGCCTGTAAGGTTTCTGCTGAGAAGTCTCATGATAGCCTCATGGGCTTTCCTTTGTATGTGATCTTATTTCTCTTTCTGGCTGCTTTTAATAGTCTGTCCTTACCCTTGATCTTTGCCATTTTAATTACTATATATCTTGGTGTTGTCTTCCTTGGGTCCCTTGTGTTGGGAGATCTGTGCACCTCCATGGCCTGAAAGACTATCTCCTCCCCCAGATTGGGAAATCTTTTCAGCAATCACCTCCTCAAAGACACTTGGTATCCATTTTTCTCTGTTCTTCTTCTGGTACCCCTATAATGCAAATATTGTTCCATTTGGATTGGTCACACACTTCTCTCAATATTCTTTCATTCTTAGAGATCCTTTTTTCTCTCTGTGCCTCAGCTTTTTGTATTCCTCTGATTTGTATTTCATTTATCATCTCTACCGTATCTAATCTGCTTTTAAAACTTTCCATTTTATGTTTCATTTCTGATACTGTGTCATGTAATGATTGGATCTCCAACTGGAATTCCTCCCTGAGTTCTTGAATATTTTTCTGTACCTCCATGAGCATGTTAATGATTTTTATTTTGAAATCCTTTCAGGCAGATTCATGAGGTTGATTTCATTTGAGTCTTTCTCAGGGGTTGTATTCATATCGATAATTTTACTCTGAACCAGGTTCCTTTGGTGTTTCATATTTGTATATGGTGCCCTCTAGTGCTCAGAAGCTCTACTCTCTGGAGCTGCTCAGCCCCTGAAGCAATGTCGGGGGTTGTAGGGGAGTGGTATTGGTGCCTGGGGGGAGGAAAGAGCTATTTCCTGCTTCCCAGCTGCTGTGCCTGTCTCCACTGCCAGAACCAGTGGGCTTGCTGAGCACACTGGTATAAGGCTCTATGCTTTGTGTTTGTAGTTGCTGTAGGCAGGGCTTCCCTCTGGCCGGCCTAATGCCAGGGTTGGGTTTGCCGGTTTGCAAGCCAGGTGGGGCTGGCTGGGAGAAAGGTGCAGTAGGCTGCTTATCACAGAGGTGATCCTTGGAGCTGTGTAGCCAGCCAGGGAGCTGGAGTTACTGAAGATCATGAAAGTTCCCAACCTCCTGGGCAGAGTGCACCCAGACAATTTTGTCTGCCTCTCCTTTCTCCTGAGCAATAAGCTCTGTGCAATCCTTGGCCCTTTAGCAGCCCTCTTGCTGTTAGGAAGTCTCTCAGACTGCCCACCTTTCTTTTGTCCCAGAGCAGCTGGATATGGATCCCTACTTTCCACAAGCAGCTGGAATCTCAGTCTCTCCAGGTATTCTGCCAGTCTTAGCTTTCCAACCCCCTAATCATGAGAATACCACGAAAACACCATGAAATGTATGTTTGTGCTCCCAGATCAGATCTCTGGAGTTAGGTATTCAGCAGTCCCAGGCCTCCATTCCCTCCCTGCTCTGTTTCTCTTCCTTCCCCTGGAGAACTGGGGTGAGGGAAGGGCTTGGGTCCTGCCAGGCCATGGCTTTGGTATGTTACTCTGCTCTGTGAGGTTTATTCTTTTCTCCAGGTGTATGCAGTTTGGCACAGTCCTCTTTCCTGTTGCTCTTTCAGGATTAGTTGTATTAGTTATATTTTCATATTATATGCAGCTTTAGGAGGAAGCCTCTGTCTCACCTCTCACGCCACCATGTTTTCAGCTGGTGGTCCAGATGTTTCTTCATTCTGTCCAGCCTCACCAGCGGAACCGTTCAAGTAACGATAGGCTTCTGCTCTGCCGCATCCTGCCTCCCCTCCTGCAAAAAGCCTGAGGCTCTGCTTCCTCCAGGAGAGGGCAATGGCCTCCAGGGCTGCCCCTCCCTCCCTGCAGGCTGAAGCCAGAGATCTGCTGCAGTCAGTTTGCTTTATGGAATAGGTCAGAGGCTCTTCCCAGCAGGAGACAAAGTCTACATATCCGGGTAAAGGGTCTGGGGTGGGGGCAAGGGACATAGGCTACTTTTGCCAATGTGCTCATTGCTTGCATTTTCTGTTGGAATTCTGGGGTCCCTGATCCTGCACCAATGGAAAAGGACCTCATCAGGAAGGCTACCAGCAGAGACTGCTTCTCTGGGTACCATAACCTGTGGAGGGCCAGGCCAACAGAATCCTGGGTGCTTCAACAGGGCTTCCCAGGCTGGGTTCCTTGGGAGGCAGGAAGCCACCTGGCTTTCCAGTGGCTTGGGAGAAGTTCTGCCAGAAACGGCTCCTCAGCAGTGCCTGACTGCCAGTGAGGTCACATCTTTCTTGTGCTTATTAGCCTCTTCTTTTCCCAGAGGGGAAGGGACCGCACCCTGTTAGGCAGGAAAATAGATATGAGTGGGATGGAAAGAGAATAAGGCCAGAAAAAAAGCCCACTAAAAATGACCCAGAGTGAATCAGTTAAAGCTCAAAAAGCCAGGAGCAACTTGGCCTGAAATGTTTGAATATTCCCCAGAGAAAGGAGGGTACCTCAGCATAGCCCATGGCTTTATTGTGTTAATCATGCCGGCCCACCTGGCTTTTTTAACTTTAACCTACATGCTGTTTTTTTTCTCCTTTGGCCCTAATCAAGTAGTTTGAAATCTGAGCAATTAACAATGGCAAGCAAACCCAGCATAAAGAACATAGTGACAGGCAGTAAGGATTCCATCTTAAAAATAAGATTGCATTTTAATACCCAGGAAGTTAAGAAGATTCTTAACTTACTCTTTAGCAAACAGACAATAACTCAGCCCACCTTGGGGGCCGGGCAGGCAGTCTTGATATGCTCCCAGACCAAGAAGGCTGGACTCCCAGGGAGAAATCAGAGCAGGAAGTTGCTTGTGTTAAGTTAGTTCTAAGTATTCAAAGACCACCTAACAGGTCTGCACCCCCAGCCCTTAGTTACATTCCTGAAGAATCATTAAAAGGGGGAACCCCCAACCTCTTGGGGCACTCCTCTCCCTGAGGTCGCCCACACTTTCTAAGTGTGTAACCTTTTCACTTTAAACTATCTTTTCAACCTTTCAGGGTGCTGCTCTCTGAGGTTGCCTGCACTTTTTCTCTAAGTAACTTTAAATAAAACTTTTCCTCTGCTTCACTACTGTGTCTCTGCCTTTCAATTCCTTTTTTGCCATGGGGACAAGGACCAAGGAAAATACACAATGCTCCCCCCAACAACCCCACCCCATCTTCACGGAATATACGGGTCATCCTGACCTCAGAGACTTGCGGCTTACCAAAGGTTCCAGGTCCAGCAAAGCCCTGGGCAGGTGCTGAGGACACCCCAGAGGAGAGGCTGCTGCCCGATGCATCCACCCCAGGGTCAGGGGTGTTCTGACCAAAGGTGGGTGTGGATGTGCCTGGAATGGAGAGACCACAAAGAACTGTGACAACTAGGCTCAGAAGCAGACGGTATCAAAGCAGGCAGTAATGAACTGGGGGGAGGTCTGCTTGCAAGCGCATCCCCACAGGATCCCTTAGCCTGCACCACTGTCCAGCTCACTGCTTGGTAAGGAAGCACATGGGGTGACTGGGTCCTAACCCCTGTGCTCCAGGTGAGCTGGAGCACACCCCCCACCACCAGCAGCAGCAGAGCACAAGCCCCTGAGCTGCCCTTTGTCCACCTGGGGAGGAGAACCTTTGCACTCCCTTGGCTACCAAAGCACAGCACAGGGGACACTGAATGGAACTCCCTTCTCTCAGGACTAATGTTATGTCTACTCCCCATTTACCTGCCCCCTCTCCTCTATTTCACCACAGCCCCACCCCACAGTCAGCCCCCATCCTCCCACAGGCCCACTTGAACTCGGTCTCCTGCACATGCTTACCCTCATGGAGCCTCCTGCCCAGTGCTGGGCTACCCTCCACAGTGGCTCTCTGGGAAGATCCTCTCACATGTAACTGTATCTGTCTAGGCCTGAGGTGGGGTGGGTGCCCCCTGAGGTGCTGACCTTGCACGTAATCTTCCCCCCACCCAACCTCTGGGGGGTCACACCTTATCGCAACCAGGAACTGCTCTTGCCCCCAGATCTCGGCTGCAAGCACAGTGCTGTCCCTGCTTCCCATGCTGACTGCACCCACTCCGGATCTTCTGCCTCATCAGGGCCTGTAGTCGGCCCCCTGCCCCTCCTGCTCCCTGTGCCATTTAACAAGGTTGGGTTTACTCTCTATCCACTGATTTTAGGTCCACACCTCAAGACTGAATGTTGCTGGGCAGACACACACAACTGTGCTGATGGGCCTTGCTTCAAATTCCTAACCACAATTTCCCAGACTTCAGAACTGCCCGGCATGGCTCTCACACATCATTTTCTCCCCCTCTCCAAAATGACCACTGAGAGAGGCCCTCCTTGGTACACATCTCCCCCTAACCCACTCCAAGGAGCTCTTATATTCAGTGAAGAAAATGGAAGCTGTCAGGGTCAAAACTCCTTATCATGCATCTTCCACATGGCAAATAAAATCACTTCCCTCTGCCTGAAATTCCACAGTGACTTCCCTTAGTACTTTAACAAAAACATAAGGCCATGAATGATCTTCCTTTGTGCCTGTCTCTTAATGTCATTTTATCCCACTTTCCTTTTTAAACCTCTAGCCACACCTGGCTCTTCTCTGCTCATGAAAACATAAGCTTGTCTCTGCCTTCGGGCCTTTGCTCCTGTGTTTGTAATGCCCTCACCCCCAGCCGCTGTCCCTGCTCCCAACTCTGGAACTGCGGCCATGGCCTCAGTTTGCTATTGTGTCAGAAAGGCTGCTGCTGACTACCTAAATAGCTCCTCCGGTCATGAGTTACACTGCTACCTGATGCTGTTTACAGATAACATCTGTGATAACATCTGTCTCTTCACCACAGTGTAGAGCTCCAAGGCAGAGACTGTGTAGGCACTTAAAACAGCATCTGGCACTGCAGACTGAGCCCATTCCAAATCTGACCTGCAAACACAGACGTGTTCTGAGGCATGCTGGCCACGTGGCAGGCAACGGGTGTGCTCTGGCCAGCTGCACCCAGGAAGTTCTCACTCAAGCCTCCTCAAAAGGGGCCATGCTGCCAGTGGTCCCACTCTGTCCTGCCCCAAAGCCAAATGCCCCAGTGGTGGAGCTGCTGTGGGGGGCAGCCACGCTCATCCCAAAGCCCCACTGCCAGTGGGGCCTGCTGACACCCAGATGTGAAGGATGGTGAGGTGGTGCTGCTGCCAAACACTGAGCTACTGGTCCCGCTGCTGGTGGTCTGGGTCATAGCTCCAAAGCGTGAGGTGGTGGCTGCAAAAAAGGAGGAAACAGCTGTGGTGCTGCCAAAGGCTGGATGGGTACTGGAGGGGCTGCCAAAAAGAAAGGCTGCGGGTTTCAACCCACGAAAACCTGACCACACAGTGCTGCCAAAGGCCGACTGGGATGGGGCCGGGGCTGCTGAGCTTCCAAAAGGAAAGGAGCTGTCAAAGCTGGGGGCCCGGGCTGGCTTTGCAACTGCCATCTGCTCTCTGTCAGTGGCCCCGAACATGGACTGTGGGGTGACTCCAGTATAGGAAGGGATGGGGGGCCTGGTGCCAGAACCAAAGGGAATGTTGAAGGCTGGGGTGGTAGTGCTGCTAAATGTCAGTGCAGGGTGGCTCGGGGTGATGGGGATGGAGGTCGTGAGGGTGCCACTGAAGCCACCGAAACTGGCAGTGCTGCTGCCAGCAGCTGTCTGGACGGTGCCGAGCAGGGACTGGCTGAAGGTGATGGCTGTGGTTGGAGCAGACATGGCCAGAGCCTGCCAAACTGGAGTATGGAGCCCATGGCTGGGCAGAGCTGGCAGCAGAGGCAAGGGGGGACCCAAAGAGGACAGGCTGGGCAGTGGAAGCAGTGGAGTTGGTCATGCTGCTCACAGTGCTGGTCACACTGCTCACGCCAAAGCCAAAGACAGGCTTCCGGGCAGAGTCTGCGGCTGTGCCGGTGGTGGTCCCCCAAGCCACTGCTGAGCGGACACTGACACTGGCCTGGCCAGGGAACAGAGGGGCATTTGTGCTAGTGCCTGAAGTAGTCTGACTGAAGGAGAAAGGAGTTGACAAGGGCACAGATGTAGATAGCCCTGTACTGGTAAAGACAGGACTGAAAGTGAGGGGCAGGCTGCTGGTAGTCAGAGTGGGGGCAGAGCTGGAAGATGCCGCAGTTGTGACATGGGAATGGCTGGATGGCACAGGACCCTCATTACCACTTTTAGGTGGAGCCACAAAGATGGGCTTGAACATGGGATGTGCTGAAGACACAGCAGGAGCTGCCAAGGCAGAAGGGTTAGCAGGTGGTCTGCTCAGCATTCCAAAGAGAACACTGGGCTTCAGGGTGGGGCCTGGGGCAGGCGGGGCCTGGGGTTTGGCAGATGTCTCAGCCTGAGAGGCTGGAGGTGACTTGGTGGTATCACTGGCTGGTATTGTGGGAGAGGCAGGGGTCAGCCCCGAGAAAGGGGCTGTGTATCTGGAGTCTGGGGAGGGGCCGGGGAGGGGCCCTGGCTGTGAAGAGCCAAGAGGGCCCAGAAGGCCAGGTGTCTGCAGGGGCAAACGGGCTGTGGGGGTGGCTGTTAGACAGGAAAATACATATGAGCGGGGTGGAAAGAGAACAGGGTCAGTAAAGCCCCCTAGAAAGGACTTGGTTAACCAGTTAAATCTAGAAATCCAGAAAAGACTCAGAGTTAGTGAGTTAATCAGTTAAAGCTCAAAAGGTCAAGTGAAACTTGGCCTTGAAGGTTTGAATATTCCCCAGAGAAAAGTATCTGAGCACAGCCCATGTCTTCATTGTGTCCATTAAATCATTGTATAGTTTACTCTAGCCTGCTAAAAGGCCCACCTATAAACAGCAAAGTAAAGACAAGGAGATCCAACCTGAAAGCCAAAATTGTATTTTGAAAAAAAAAAAAAACAGGAAGTTTCAGAAGAAAGATTCTTAACATACTCTTTAGAAAACAAATAACTCTGCCCACCTTGGAGGAAAGGCAGACAGTCTTGATAGGCTAATTCTGCAGAATTACCTAGAGGACTGATGAGTAACTTAACGTCTCATCAAAGATACTTGAGACCACTGAACAAGCCCACACCCTAGCCCTCTGTCACATTCCTGAAAAATCCTTAAAAGGGGGAACCCCCAACCTTTCACTGCGATATGTGAGGTCACCCGCACTTCCTAAGTGCGTAACCTTTTAACTTTAAACTCCCTCTTTTCAACCTTTCAGGGTACTGCACTCCTCTCTCTGAGGTCACCTGCACTTCCTAAGTGCATAACTTCAACTCTTCCCAACCTTTCAGGGTGCACCTCTCTCTGAAGTCGCCCACACTTTCTAAGTGTGTGACCTTTTAATCTTAAACTCTTTCTCTCCAACCTTTCAGGGTGCTCCTCTCTCTCTGAGGTCACCTGCACTTCTTTCTGGCTAAGTAACTTTAAATAAAACTTTTACTCTGCTCACTACTGTGTCTCTGCCCTTCAATTCTTTGTCACGGCAGCGACAAGAATGGAGAAAAATACGCAATGCCTCCCCCCAACATTGCCACTGCAGCAGATTCTAGAAAGAAGAACAGAAAATGTCAACTATGGTATCTGAAACGTGATGGTATTTGGTGCTCTAGAAGCCTTGCTGGGCCAGGGATTCAGGAGTCAACAAATTGACTAATCAATACCACAGGTTCTTAAAGTAATCATTCCTCAAAATCAAGGAAGTGCTCCTTATTTCTACCCTTCACAGATAATAAGACAGACAGCAGGGGATAAAACTTGTCCTAGCCTGGGTTAAATGTGTGGACACTGAGGAAAATCCAATCATCTGAACTCAAGCATGGCTCAGAGCAGCTAAGGAATGGGGCTGCAAACTAGCAGCCATCTGACTACCAAAACAGGGCTGCCTTCTCCAGCTTTAAGGGCGGCAGGCCCTTCCCTACAATCTGTTCCTGATGAGTTGGTTCTGAAGCCATCAGGCCTGCACCAGCTCAGGTGTGCTAAACCAGAGCAGGTTCAACCTTTTTAGCAACTGACAGGCATGCTGCTTTCACATTAGCCTAACCAGAGGCTGATGGCACTGTGTGCTCCACAGAAAGCTCTTCCGCTCACCTGGGAAAGATGGTAGGCCCAGGGGGTTCAGCTTCTTCAGGAAGATGATGTACTTGGGGAGAAACAGTGGGTTAGTCATTGGGGCTGGGGGGGAGGCTGAGGAAGTAGCAGTCCCAGCAGCAGGCAGGGCAAGAGTAGAAGCCGGTGGAGTGGCAGGTGGGTTTGCACTGTCGGAGTTCGAGGCAGTTTCTAAGGAAGAAAGAAAGAAAGGATTGTCCTTCCTTGTAGGAGAATTCTTTCCAGGACCATCACAGAGCACGGGGAGGCTCAGGGATTTGGGGGAACTTGTGTAGAAATGCTTCCTCTCAATCTCAGTGCTCACTATGCTCGGAGTCCACTGATAACCCAAGGGGTGGATTTCTCAGAGGAGAAAGACCAAAATAAAACCAAAGGGAACCGTCTCTGGAGTGTGAAATTAACCCATATTCCTTACCAGTCTTATCCTCGAAGTCCCTCTTCAGCCACTGTGACTGAGCTTGCTTCTGCCGGTCAAAATCTTCGGTCGTGATTGAGTGGCCGGGCAAGAGAGCTGGAGGCTACCAAGAGAAAAAGGAGAAGCCGAGCCAGTCAGAAGGCAGTGAAAGAAACCTGTACCGACCCTTCCATTCCTGAGACGCAGGGGAGCCAGGCTGGGGTGGGCAGGGGTGGGTGGACAGACCATACCAAGATCAGTGGGATCCCTCGCCTGGAGGGCACCAGTTGGACTTTCTGGGTATCGCTGGAGAATCCCAGGAGTTCTGTTCCCTACATGTGGTTGTATCTGCAACTAAAGTATCAGACTTACTTTCTTCCTGCTCTCTTCCAGAAACGGAGAGGTTTGTCTATCCAGCCTAGTTTTGTTTTTT